CTTGTCCCAAAGAGCTACGTGCGCTCTCTCTCTCTCTCTCTCTCACGTACACACACAATGAAATCCTTGTTCTGTTGGAGTCAGTGACAGAATTCCCACTGCCATTGCTGGGGCCAGGATTTCTCTCTCCCCCCCCCGCGCACACAAACACGCTCCGATGCTAACCCCTGGCTCGTGAGCTGAGCTCTGCAGGGATAGCGCGGGTGGGATTTGAGCGACGAGTCGCTTTGCTTCTTTAAAATCTCTGCCTATTCCTTAGCTGCATGGCCACGCCACAGGGGAAACCAGCCCCATCGGGCCACGTTCCCCGCATCACAGGGCCCCTCCGACATCACAAAGCACCAGGCTGCGCTACCATGGTTACTAGCTTGGGCCAGTGACTGGGGGGGGTCTGCCTTGGAGCTCAGCACTGCCTGCCCAGCCTCCCCCACGCAGGGAGCCGGCAGAGGAACGAGGCAATCGAGTACTAGCCCCGCGGAGCCCAGCCGTGAGGAGCTAAAGCCCTCGCGTGTCACGGGCCTCACCCCGTGCTTTCATAAAGGGGCTGTTAACGGCAGCGTTCCCTGGGTCCTCGGCGTCTTTCGAACCGAGGAAGCGGGACGCCACGTGAACGGTCCGAGACCGATCGGCGCCGGGAGAGGAGGAGAACCCCAGGGAGCTACGCCAGGGCCAACCGCCCCACGTCGCGTCGTTTGGGGCCGCACCTCCAGCCGGAAACGAGACCGGGCAGCCGGGAGGTGGCTCCAATCTGAAGGCTAGTCAAGGAGAAGTGTCTCCTATTGGCCAGCAAAATGACTGATCTGTGTGAACCTTGCGAGGGGTCCTCTTTGGCATCAGAGCCCCAAGGTCCAACCACAAGACCAGGAGCCCCCACGGCCTCGAAGCATGCCAACCCCAGCGTCTCGGAGCTCATCCTTTGGGCTGTGGCCACCTCCCCGAAATGCCAAGGCCTCTCCCTGGAGGCCCTGAAGAAGATAATCACCAAGGCGGGCTACGACGTGGTGAGAAACAAAACCCATTTCCTGCGCGTGCTCAAGGGGCTGGTCTCCAAAGGGCTGCTGAAGCAGATGACTGGGATGGGCGACTCGGGCTCCTTTCGCACTGGCAGGAAGAAGAGGGACGTGAAGAAGAATCAAGTAGCCGCCAAGAAAAGAAAGAAGCCCGGGAGGAGGAAGGCACCCAAACGCGTGTCCTCCAAAGCCAGCCGGCCAGCTCGCCGGGGTAGGAAACGGCAAGCCGCCGTGTGAGGGATTGCATCCCCCGCTGGGGCTCCGCTATGAAACAGGGCTTAATAAAGGGATCCGTGTATTTAAAAGCTCTCCCGTGTCTGGGCGAATCCTTTCAAAGTGGGTTGCAAAGAGGAAACAGCCTTGGAAGTCAGGAGGGTAGCCTTGAAAGCCTTCCCAGCCCTCTGGGCTAAGGGTCATCAGTCTGGGCCATTGTGGTGCGGGGGAGAACTCTGTGGGATTACAGAACTGATGCTTGATAACTAGTCTAATCCGTCCCCACTTAATCTTGAACTGGAGCCCCTCCATGTGCTTTGAAGGCAGCCCTGCTCCTCTCTCAGATGAGAAGGGAAGCCAGGCTTCTGGCCATTCAAGGTCTCATGGCATAATTTGCACACGTCAAGCTGTCTGTGCTCTCCTGAGCCCAAATTAGGGAGGCAGAATAAATATATAATCATCAAAGTTCGTCTTGCACTTTCAGTGGGTACAGTGCTTTTCTCCCCTCCCTTTACTATCATGTAGCTTTGCTGAGCGCTGTTAAACAGCCATCATGTGCCACCCCAGAGGTGGCAGCTAGGTGGAGTGATCTGTCAGGGCTCCGGAGGTGCATGGGACAGAATATTTTCTGTTAAGGTGTTGTGATAGGCCTCCATCCAACATGGGGAAGTCTGATCTAAGGCGCCCCCCCCCGCCACACACACACTTCTTATGACCTCACAATGCACTAGCCCTGGCTCTTGCGGTTACCACCCACATCTGGCCTTCAACGGAGCTCTCAACAAGCAAAATGACTGATATGAGTGAGTCTTCTCAGGTTCCCTCCTCTGATTCAGTCACCCTGGATCCTCGGTTAATCCAGGTTCAGAGGTACCTGAGAATGCCGGAACTTCCAATCCATCCTCTTCCGGCTTCTCCAGTCCACACGAGCATCAGGTTCTAGGCTCTCTGACCAGCCCAAGTCATCAAATTCTAGGCTGTCTGGCCAGCCAGCTGGTGCCAACCTTTCCAAGCTACCAAGTCACGGTGTCTCCAAGCTCATTCTGGAGGCTGTGGTCACCCCCTTTCTCTGCAGGCTCATTGTAGCCGCTGGCTACCACATGGAGAGAACCTGATCTCCAAAGAGCTCCTGCAGCAGCTGAAAGGCACCAGAGCTTTGGACTCCTTCAGAATCAGCAAGGGGGGAAAGAAGAAAGCGAAAGCCGTGCCCAAGAAATGAGGGAGGCCTCCCAAAGAGTGGGAGCAGGAAGCCTGGCAGAAAGGGGAAGGCTGGTGCTGAGGGATCTTTCCAGGGAGCCAAGAGGCTGCCCAGCCAGGCTGGGCAGCAGCCCGTGGAAGTGGGAGGACCTTCAGAGCCAGAGGTGTAATACTGCCATGAATATAAGATTGCATGTCAGCTCTCCCGTGGCCTCTGGCACCGTGAAGGGTGGGAAGGCACCTGAAACCCTAGAGAAAGGAAGAGGGTGGGGGTGGAATGGAACCTGAGTTCCTGGGACTAGGGCCTTTGCAAGGCTCTGAACTAAGTAGCATCTAGCCCCACCTACGTGGGGACAGGAGACCAGCCTGGGGTTGCGATGGGGCAAACTCAGCCCAAAGCGCTGACCACAGAAACCAGGTGGAATGGATTCCCTCGCTGTGCTCGGGCCTCTCTCTTCTTTGAACCCAGGGGAGGAGGGGGTCCGATCAACCCAGAGGGGCAGACAGCGTTTGACAGGGGCTGGTCCCAGTCTGTGGAACGAACTCCCCCAGGAGCTAAGGCCCACCCCAAGCCCCCTGGCATTTGGAGTGGAAGGTGCGGAGCGCTGCTCCCACCCGCCTTCACACACATTTCAAAGACCCAACCCTACGAAAACAGAACCCTCCACTGCCCCCACACTCCTCCCCCAGGGGAGAGGACACGATCCTCCCATGACAGATGCTGGCTACATTGCTGAATGCCCGACTGGCAGGTGCTCGTACACCGCAGGGGTGAGGGCAGCATGGGATCCTATAGAGAACGGAGTAGCTTGAACTCCTTGGATGGGGCTGAAGGGGAAAGTCCGATTTCTCATCCTCTGAGTGTGGACGCTGGAAGCAATTGTGTCCCAAGGTGGAGACCCTGCCCTGAGGCCAAGTCACTTCGGGAGAGCGAGTGGAGCTGAAGCGGGGGATGGGGAGTCCTCAGGTCTCCAAGGATCCCCCACCAAGGGCAGAGAGAGCCCCCCCAGTGTTCCCGCAACACAGAGCTGAACGTGGATGGACGCTCCCATGCTCAAGCATGCGTAGGAGGATCGGGGCGGAGGTGCCTGAAATCAACACGTGGGTCGGTGAAATCAACACGTCCCTCCACCATCCCAAGCAACCCCATGGGGAAGCCGTCCAGCGAGGCTGGACTAGGAGAGCACTTGCGGTCTGACCTCACCAGCTGGGCTGCCGTGGTTACTGGGTTTATAGGCTGGGGTGGCAACTGCTGGGCAGCTCCCTGCACAGGACGCTTGGTCAAGAAGCAAAACGGCAAGGAGCCTTGCTCCGTTTCCTTGGGCCTGCAAGCCCCAGCTCCATCAAAGCTTCTCAGGCAGCATAAACCAAGGTGTCCCAGCCTCTCCCTGGCCTTCCTGATGGCCGTGGTGACCTCCAAGCTGCCCCTTCCCCTGGCAACCACCCAGGAGACCCTTGAGGCCGGAGGCTACGCCATGGCAAGGGCAGAAGCAAGCACTGCTTCAGGAAGGTGCTGGCAAGGCAGCTCCTGAGCAAGGTGATGGGCATCCAGGCCTCGGGCGCTGCCAGAGCCAGCAAGGGAAAGCGGAAGGGCAAAGCCCACCAGGAAGATGAGGGGACCTCCAGGAAAGGGGAGAAGGCCACCGAGGAAACACTTGCCATGGTCGGCTTTGCGGGAGGAGGAGGAGGGTCATGCATCACCTCCATATTAGTGCACATAACCAAATTCATTCCACACCGGTGTGGGAAAAATTGTGACAGACCACACACGTGGCAGGCTGGTTCGGGTAGGGCTAATCGTTCTGCAACGTGCTGGCATGCAGGGGATCAGCAGTTGGGTGCCAGGGCATTGAATGCAGCAGGGACAGGCCTCCGGGAAGGAGGCAATCCCTTGCACTGCTCAACAGCAAGGCTGGAGAGAATATGGCCCAGAGGAAGGATCACTGCCATGGAGAGTCTTACAGGGGCTGGGTGGATGTGAAGGGAGGAACAGGATGTCCTCAGACTGGCAAGGACAGAATAACAAGAAACATGCCCACAGAAGAGCGGTGTATGGACGGACACACTCGTGGGTGCACACTCGGGTACAATTCCTAGGCCAGATTCTCCCACCGCTGCACACAGGTGACTCCCAGGGCAAGTTGGTATACGGTGACAAGAGAACTGGGCCCACAATGGGCCAGATTTTCAAGTGCTTGACCCCTACAATCAGAACCTACAGAAGAGCTCAGCTCCCATTTAGGTGCCTGAATAAAGGCCAGGAGTCAGCGCCCTGCCACTCCCGCTTGTGACACTCGTGGCTGGATTTCCCAGCATGCACCCACCACCCTGAGCTGTCCACGAAACCTGCTCCTGCTTGGGTGCTGAATGCTTCGGAGCAGCCTGGCCCTCTGCTCCTGGGAACACAAAGGAAAGCTCAGCACTCGGTCTCTGGTCACCTGTGGGGTGTTTGGTTAACACCTTGCAACCCACAACAATATGAGGACAGCACATTGCACAGTTGGGTCCCAAACAACCCTTTTGACTAAATATGAACGTGCCAAGCCTGGCTATATACATCTTGCTGCTCTACCTGGCCGCTTCTAACACCCAGAACACAGTGAGCACCGCAAGCGGGCTTGCAAATGATTTAAAGGGATACTCCCCTGCTCCTCTCCAAGGGGGCCTGTGCCCAGACACGCCCCTACGCAGACATCACAGGGTGCACCTGATGTCACAATCTACCAAGCTCCGGTCTCATGGCAACCACTATGTTCTAGCAGCCCTAGTGTGGCCAAGTGGGCTGGGGCTTACAGCTCATCACTCGCTTGCCCTGTACCCTCGCCCCCAGCTGACCACAGCCCAGAATCCAGCACGGTGAGTCAGACAAGGTGGGTCCCTGGTGGGAGAAGGTCCTCAAGGAGAACAGCCACCAAGCGAGGCAGCCAGGCCAAGACGGGCCAAGGCTGCAAGGCCAGAGCTAAGAATCCGTGCGTCCCCAAACGCAACCATTAGGTGCAGCTTTTCCTTGGGTCCTCTCCGGCAGCCAAGCCTCTTGTACCCCGAGCTGCCAAGAGCTGGACACGCAACTCCAGCCAGAGGCTGGGCTCGGTGAGCAGGGCCCACGCACAGCGAGCTGGTCCTGGGGCAGCAGGACAACGGGGTTTTAGCCGCCTGGCGAGTCCTACGTCTCAACGCGGAACTCCCAGACGATATAGACATTTAGCTGGTCTGAAGGGGCAGACCCTAAACTGGGACAGGAGACAAGGAGCAGCAGCTCCCTTAGGCAAGCAAAATGGATGACACACAAAACCCTTCTGAGGTTCTTCCCCTGGATTCAGCCGCCCCAGCTTCAGGGAACCCTGAGCCAGCAGCCCCAGGTTCTGCTGACGTAGGCTCAGCTAACCCAGCGGCAGAGACCCGTGAGAATCTCGAGCAGCCTGAGGCGTCTGGTTCCAGCCTCCCCAAGAAGACCAAGCCATCAGGCAGCCGGATCTCCAAACTATCCAGCTTGCCTGGCGTCAGCCACGCCAAGCTGTCCAAACCACTGAGTCGAGGACTCTCCAAGCGCATCCTGGAGGCTGTGGCCACCTCGAAGAAGCACACTGGCCTTTCCCTGCAGGCTCTCAAGAAGATCATCGTGGCCACGGGCTACAACATGGCCAAGAAGAAGACCCATTTCAAGAGGGTGCTCTTGAGCCTGGTGACCAAAGGGCTCCTGCAAAAGCTGAAAGGCACCGGGGCTTCAGGCTCCTTTGGGATCGGCAAGGAGCTGGCCAAGAAGATGGGCACAGGGCACAGGAAGAAAAAGGCACCCAATAAACGAGGGAGGCCCCTCAAGGGTGGCATAGCAGCCACAAGCCTGGCTGAAAGAGGGCAGCTGCTGACGATGGATCTTCTAAGGAAGCCAAGCCATCAGCCAGCCACGCTGGGCAGCAGCCAGCCAACGCTTGAAGGATAGACCCACCCCTACTACAGGTTTACCCCTGGTGGAAATAAAATGGTGGCTGTATTTAAAAACTCCCCATGTCCAGACTCATCCTTGGGAACCTGCCTCCAGGAGAAGAGAGGGGGAGGGGTTGAAGGAATGGTGATGTATTTACACCACGTGGGGCTCTGATCCCTATACATCTCCCAAGCTATGTGTGTGTGGGGGGGGCAAGTAGCACCCTATGTTGCTGGTCAAGCTTTCACATTGATCATGGGGCAAGGGACCCTCTGCTCTGCAAGGCTCTGTCGTTCCGATTAAGCCAGAGGACCAAGGCACGAACGACATGCAGTGATCAGAGGGCGTGCTGGGTTGTTGCAAAAGTGGGGATTTGATAGTCCCTAGGGGAAGAGGTGCCCTTTATGGAAGGACTTGAAGGAGAGAGATCCTGGACTGGCAGGGCCTTCCATGCATCGGAGCCAGTATGGAGGAAGGCATACAGAGAGCCTGCAATCTGACCAGACAAAGCGGGAGGAGAAACAGAGGGGAAGTGATGTACCCAAGGTCACACAATGAGTCAGTGACAGAGCCAGGATTAGCACCCAGGCCCATCAAGTCCCAAGCTAGTGCCCTTGCTGCTCGACCTGATTCACCTGCTGTGGCACGAAAATGCCCGGTGAGGTTAACTTGGTCCTGGTTAGCCGGGGATTTGGCTTCCCCGACCATGAGTAGCTTGCAGTTTCATGGTGCTGGGTGCAATGCCCTCTGGGAGGCAGAGACCGGGACGCTGAGATACCCGCTGGCCTTTATCCCAGGATTCTGATCACACAAGCACTGGGGGCTGGCTCCTACCGCTAGCTGGCTGAGCACCAAGCTGGCATGTCAGGAATCGGGTCCCCTCCTGCTCTGGGCACAGAACACCCAACAGATACGTAGGGAGACACGCTCACTCCATTGCAGACATGCTTAGACCCGCTCCATCCCCCCCCCCCCCCCCCCCCCCCACACACGACACAGCCCGTCAGCTCCCTTCTGCCACCCCTGGATAAGAGTAACTTCCACAGCAAGGCAGAGGAGAGCCTTGAACCCCACACCCAGGGGCCTGCAGGGTGCCATTTCAATCAAATCAAGGGCCTTTTGACAAATTACATCTTGGCAGATCCTTCAAATCTCTAAATCACAGTCTGTAAAAATTGCGATGTGGGGTGACACACACAAGGGCATCACGAGCTCCTTATGACATCACAACTGGCCCACTTTTGCTGTCATGGTTACTGCCAGGTTGTCCTGGAGCCCAGGGACAGCTGTAATAGGCCTGCAACCTCACATGGAAATAGCTGACTTGATCACTGGGAGCCAACTGGAATCCAGCAGGAGGAATTGAGCTGAGTCCATTTCCCCAGGTACCTAGCAGGAGAAAGTCCTCAAAGAAGACAGCAGCCAAGCCAGGATCCTGGATCTCCAAGTCAGCCTGCGAGGAACCAAAATTGAAAAGTAGCTGCAAAAATTCAGCACTTTCACTCAGGAAACAGTGAATTGGCAGCTTCCCTGTGTCCTCTCCTAACTGAGGTCCCTGGAAATTAAACCCAAGGAGCTGTGGAAATCGGTCTGAACGTGGAGCCCATGCCGGGGTTTGGATTCGCTGAGGGGAGGCCAATCTGCACAGTGCTGGATCTGGAGCAACCAGGCTGCCTACTTCACTCCAGGGTTCGGTGCTGCATCTCAAGCTGGAAAATACACAGTAAACAGGCAGGAAAGACCTCTGGCTGCCAACCCACCAGGCAAGGAGCAGCGAGCAAAATGACTGATACGAGTGAGTCTTCCCAGGTCCCATCCTCTGCGTCAGCCAACCTGGATGTGGCCACTCTGGTCTCAGATAAGCCAGATTCAGAGAGAACTGAGAAAATTGATACTTCCCGTCCATTGGTTTCCAGCCTCTTCAAACCAGCCCAAGCCATCAGGTTCTAGGCTCCTCAACCAGCCAGCTGGTGCCAACCCTTCCAAGCTACTAAGTCAAGGTGTCTCCAAGCTAATTTTGGAGGCTGTGGCCGTGTCCAAGGGGTGCTCAGGCCTTTCCCTGCAGGTTGTCAAGAAGATCATCATGGCTACTGGCTACCACCTGAGGAGGAACGAGCATCACTTCCAGAGGGTGCTCAAGAACCTGGTCTTCAAAGGGGTCTTGCAGCAGCTGAAAGGCACGGGAGCTTGGGGCCCCTTCCGAGTCGGCAAGGGGTGGGAAAGAAGAAAGAGAAAGCAGCGCCCAAGAAGGAGGCCCCCAAAAGACTGGGAGCAGGAAGCCTGGCAGAAAGAGGAAAGCTGGTGCTGAGGGATCTTCCCAGGGAGCCAGGACGCCGGCCAGCCAGGCTGGGCAGCAGCCAGTCAAAGTGGGAGGGAAAACCTCCAAAACCAGAGTTCTAGCACTTCCATGAATACAAGGTTGCATTTCAACTCTCCTGGGGCTAGGCTCAGCCTCTGGTACCAAGAAGGGATGAAGGGTGGGAATGAGCCTGAAACCCATCTGCTAACAGCCAGTGAAGGGGGGGGAATGACACGGGTACCAGCTCAGGCTGAGGTCCTGTAGGATCTTGACCTATGTCTGCACTGCAGTGAAACACCCATGGCTGGCCCTGCTCAGCAAACACTCAGGCTATAAAATTACAGTGTAGACGGGCGGGCTGGGCTCGTCCTCGCCTCAGGGTCCCAGGAGGGTGAGTGGGAGACGTTGGTACTGCTGGCTCCTCTATTCAGATGCAGCCCTTGGCCTGCGGCTATTCGTTCTCATTAACGATCCCCTGGCACCTCTCACAAGAGTTGGGGTATTTAGCCCTGGCGCTCTTCCCAAAATCCTACTGGGAGGGGATTTGCATCCTGCTTCATCTGGCAGCCTCCTGCACTAAAGTGGGGCGTCGCCGTGCTGCATGTGCTGTCAAACGGCTGCCTCGTTCCACTCCAGAGGTGGCTGCATTTCAGTGGTGGGCAATGCAATCCCATCCTATGTGTGTTAGTGCTCGGGGATGAATTGGGCTATCGAAATGTAAGAGATTAATTCTTCATCTGCGTGACCCTTCGTCCCCGCAGAAGAAGGCAGGGAACGAAGGTGATGAGAGCGGGAGCGGGACAAGCCTGGAGCCTTTTAAGTCCAAGTTTGAAGGCTGCATTGCCAGGCCCTGAGGGTCAGTCAACAGAGGTCTGCCCAGGCCACCGCAGGGACCTGCGTCCAGATCTGCTCACACTCACGGCAACGTGACAGTTGTGAGATATGAGTGGGGAGGAGAAAGAACTCCCAGGTACTGGCATGCCTCGGTGTGTACACCCCCAGCCACCCAACACAATCTCAAACAACCCCCCAAACACACACCCACGTTGGCAAGCAAGCACACAAACTGCCGAAGCCCGGAAACGTGTTAAAATACAAACAGGCAGAAAACACACAACCGTACCCCCCGCAAAGCGCACACACCAATCAGCCTCACAAACCCACACCGACATACAAATCTCACACACACCCCCGCATGCAGACACAATGGTGATCGCTGAATCACTTACTCAGAGGTCTTCCTATCCCTTTTGTGCCTACGGGGGGGAAAAGAAAGGGGGGAGTGGTCATGAGATATTGCCAACAGCTGAGCTTAAAATTGTCATCAGCTAAGCCAGATGTGCAGCCAGGCCCCAGTAGAGATAAATCATAACTTTAAATAACCCTTGAGCAAATGTTTATAGACAGCCTGGCTGGCCCCAGCCACGTGAACAGCAGCGAGAAGTGAAGTGTGCGCGCACTGCTGCCCTCTGCTGGAGGGACTCAGAGCTGCTGTGTGTCATAGCCCCAATACGTCTCACAGCTAGTGGAGATCCTCGTACGGCACAAGTGGCTGAAGGGGCGGGGGGCTGTTGCCAATTAGGCCAACAAACTTTCCCGAATTGCGAGCTCAGCTGTTAAAAGTATGTCAAAGGTCACAAGATGTGACCAAAAATGAACTTCGGGAGCTGAACTCTCTCCCCGCTACCATGACAGACGGGTGCACGATCAGTTTCCCAGAGCGGGGGAAATTCCCCCCAGAGCAGAGGGGCCAGCCGAAAATCCAGGCACATCTGCAGCCCTTAGGGTGCTAAGTGCTTTGGCAAGGGTGGATTTCACTCAGCCCCAGGGGGCTCCAGCCATCAGCAAACAGGGAAGTCCTGAGCACCCCGATCAGCTGGGGAGGGGGTCTCCAGCTGATTCCTACATCCCTTCCCATTTCCTGGCTCCAGGGGCATCTATCCAACTTACACTCCCTCCCTCCTACAGTACATGATGTAGGCCAGGAGTAGGCAGAGCAGGAAGGCCACCAGCAGAGGTAGCAAGATGGTCAGCAGATAGTCAGACAAGAATGCCTTCTCAGGGGAGTCCGTGGGGGGGTTGTATTCACTGCCCTCCTCCAGCACCCCATCGCCCCAGACGGGCACCCCCTCCGTGACGCTGAGGCTGGAGAGATCGGCCTGAAGGAGGAGAAGAGAGAGAAGACGCCAGGATGCCATCAGGATTGACCGTGGTCTCTCGGGGGGGAGACCTCTAGGGGTCCATAGATAGGAAGTAATGGATGATGGGCTGGGGTTAAGGCGGCGAACTGGGACTCTGGAGAGCAGGGATGTACCCCCGTGATGCCGTACACCCCCATCTTTCTGCACCTTCGTTCCCCGGCTGCAAATCAGGGGTAGGCTCTTCCTTTGCCTGTGAGCCCTTTGCCACTCACTCTGCGGGTCCAGCCCCTGGCCCACCGGGGCCCTCATCTGAGTTGGGGCCACTAGGTGGCACTGCCCTAATACGGATCCTTAATAATAATCGCTGCCTATTGACTGCTGCAGGGGGAGGAGAGCTTGAGTGAAACATCCTATTAATTCCCATAGGGTGATCGGGAACCCTACAGCCAGGCTAATGTTTCCTATCGAATCCTCTGGGATTTGCCCATAAACATCCCCAGTTATCCCAATTTCCTGAGCAGTGGGGCCCTGCCAACATACCCCCCTTGCCCCCCCGCCCCATCATCCCCCCTAGG